ACACACACACACACACACACACACACACACACACACACACACACACAAACATACAGAGGGAGAAAGAGCTATGTGGGCATGTGAGGGATCAAGGGCTCGAGGGCATGAGCATAAACACAAGAAAGATGTTTCCTTGGGAACCTTCGAGGAAGAGAATCAAGGAAGGTACAGATAATGTGATGGATTATCCACCCATTGTTATTCATGGTCTTGGCTCAGTGGCTAATTCTCACATCAGGACCCTCAGGTAAGACTCTGATGGTGGTCCTCTCTGATCTGGAGGCACAAATCAGATTGCATAGCTCGTACCATCAAAGAATGAGTTATTCACTTAATGATACTTCAAAGTAAAACACCACATAAGAGGATGGAATGGAGCCAGTAAGAGTATTTGCTTAGCATGTGCAAGGCCCTGGGTTCCATCCCCAGCACTACAAAGCCAAAACAAAATGACAGAACCAAGGTGTGGCCAGTTACCACCACCCTGGACCATGCAACACTGAGCCACTATCTTATGGAGACCTACTGTGCTGTGTCAGCACAGTAGGTGCCGTGGGAGAGAAAAGCATGCTTGGGGACCACCCTGTAGGACTCACAGCCTGAAGAGAGACCCAAAAGGAAAGCTGCAAACTGTGACATGTCCTGTGAAGCTATGACATCGCAGGGGCCTCATCCTGCTCAGGCTCATCTAGAGGTAGCCAGAAAGTGTTTGTTCTGGGAGGAGGGATGAAGGGGGCTGCAGCAGGCAGGGGCAGTGCTGGGGAGACCCCTGGCTGGATTGGGGGAATAGGATAGGTGAGGGAAGGCAGGACCAGCAGAACTGATGATGGCAGCCGTTTGGCTGTTGTGGAGGACAGTCCTGCACAACAGAGGGAGATGGGGAGAAGAAGGGAAGAAGGGGAGAAAGAAGAGGAAGTGAGAGAGAAAGAGGAAGGTAGAGGGGAGGAGGATGAGGGAGGAGGTGAAAGGAAAAGAGGGGAGAAAAAGATGAGAAGGTAAAGGTGTGTGTGTGTGTGGTGTGTGTGCATGTGTTGGAGAGTGTGGAGAATATGAAGGAAGAGGGGGAGAGAGACAGGAGGGTGTTGCTAACATTTCTCCCTGGGATTCCTTCTCAGGTCCCAATGAGGTCTGAGTCCACCAGGGGAAGATGACTAGGGGAACCAATGAATTTATGAGGCTTACTACAGAACCATGGGTGAGGGGTTATAGACAGGAGCATGGATGATCTTAAAGCAGACACGTTGGAAGGTCTGCACCTATCATGACTGGAGACTCTCCCCATGGCTGTGTGGATGAAGCTCCCTCCTTCCCCTCTCCCAGTATCCTCTAGCCCTTCCCCCAAGACCATAAGCAATTAGGGTAGAATCGTATACAGTGGTGATGACGGTCCTAGGCCCCTGCCTGCCCCTCCAGCCCAGCTGTGGTGATCTTTTGGGAGCAGGCCCAGAAGAATTCCTGATGATGGCAGCATTTTAGCTGTTGTAAAGGATAGTCATTCACAACAGAGAGGGGGAGGAGAAGGGAAGAAAGGAGAGAGGGAGGAGGAAGTAAGGGAGAAAGAGGAGGGAGATGAAGGTAGAAGGGAGGAAGATGAGGGAGAAGAGGAGGAAGGTAAGAGTTGAGAGAGGACAGAGGTAGAGGAAAAGGAGGTATATGGAAAAAAGAACCCAGCTCTTATGTCAAAAGAATGTATGTGTGGGTTTTATTTTTCTTTTCTTTTTTCTTTTTTTTTCTGGAGCTGAATATTAATGACCATGATCTGGGAACATAGATTTAGGTCTCCACAAATATCATGTTCCAGTGAAGTAGCAATTCCAGGAACATTTTATAGCAACAAAATAAAACCACAAATCAAGACACTTTTCTAATCCATTGGGTAGGTGAATTATAGCAAGATGGGGAGAATGCTGTTACAGGACTTGGGTGCTCCCTGATGATACTGTAAGTCCTTTTGTACAACCCTCCACATTATTGAAGTTTTAATCAGCCAATCAGCCTTTGAAGACAAAGCTTCTTTCTAGTTCTCATACACAATGGAGCTAGACGTTAGAGGAGCAAGAGGAGAGGGAGGAGGAGGAAGAGGAGGAGGAGTTAGAAGAAGAGGGAGGAAGGAAGCTGAAAGTGTGGAGGAGGGAAGAGGAGGGAGCTGGGTGGAGGAGGAGCTGGTCAGGGGGTTCTCAATGACTGTCCTTATCTTTCCCTCCAGCCATGGTGACCCTCATTGGAATCAGCATCTACATTGCATACTCAGCGGCCGCCTTCCGAGAGGCAGTATGTCTCCTGGAGGAGAGAGCCCTGCTGGATCAGGTGGACATACGCTTTGGCTGGTCCCTGGCCCTGGGCTGGATTAGCTTTGTAGCTGAGCTGCTTACTGGGGTGGCCTTTCTGACAGCTGCACGTGTGCTCAGCCTGCGACAGAAGCAGAACCAAGCCATCTGAGTTTCATCAGCCCAGGAGACACAGAGCCTTTTGGACCTATCTCAGTGGATAGCAACCTTTTCTTGCACTGACTTTAAGGCCAGTGGTGGCCTGTAGTGGTTGAGCTCTCTCTCGATGCTGTCTTTGTGCTATCTGGGCTGTCTACTCTGTGGTGATGTGTGCATGTGTGTATGTCTGGTGGACTGGAAGAGGAGAGGGAGTGTGGAACCCATATCACCTGAAATAAATGCCAAACCTAACCACCTTGGAGCTTTGCAACTCTGCCCTACACTGCCTCCTCTGGCTTCATTTTGTCCTCAACCCCGCCCTTTGTATCAGCTTCTTTGTGAGAAAATGCTGGGTGGATCCGAGATGCTGCCTTGAACTTCACACAACCGGGACACAGACCGGAGGGCATAGTGGGGTCCCAGCACCAAGTAGAGAAGGTCCCCTGAGTGGGTCACACCAGCCAGTGTGGGGGGAAAGGGGAGTTGAAGGGGAAGTAGAGGAAGTGGAGGAGGGAAGTAGGGATGAAGGAGGATGGAGAAGGTGTGGGGAAGGGGAAAAAGATGTTATTTTTGTTGGCCTCCTTCCTGATTGGGTGGGAAGGTGTCTGGGAAACCCACAACTCCAAGGCCTCAAATCTGAGTCACAGCTCCAAGTGCTGGGAAGGTATTTCAGCTCTGAGGTGGGACAGAGTCCCATGGGTGTCCTGAGACATGGGAGCCCAGGAAACACACAGCTCTGAGAGGAGGCCTCCCCAACAAAGACATTGCAGCTCCCAGGGGAGCGTTGCCCCAACCCTTGTTGAGCTGACGAGCCAAGAAGCCTGAGCTCCTCCTCTTCTCCAGCTATTGCAGCTCACAAAGGAGGTTTGCTGAAACGCTTGATGAGCTGAGGAGCCGAGAGCTTAAGCTCCACTTCTACTTCTTTCTTCTCTTCTTCTTCCTCTATGAGTGAGTCATAGCAGGTAGTAAATCTCTTAAAAGAGAAAGGGAAGAATCCAGAAAAGGAGGGATGAATCCAAGAGTGGCTGCCTCTGTTCCAGGGAGAAGGCAGCGGGGAATTTGGGCAGACACAGCCTTTGTATAGGAAACCTTAGGGGGCGGAGCTTTCCGAGGCAGGGATTTCTAGAGTATGGAATGGTGGGATTTCAAGTCCTGAGCTTTGGGGAGCTCAGGGATTGATGGGCTTTCCTGTTCAGGGATTGGTCAGTTTTCCTGCTCAGGAATTGGGAGGTTTTAGTGGGAACTTCAGGGATTGGTCAGTTTTCCTGTTCAGTGATTGGTGTGTTTTTGTCTAGTTCTTGTCACCTTATGTTTGCATAATCGGGGATGAGTCCTGGTGAGGGGCTGGAGATGACAGTTACAGAGGTCTGGGGGATGAAGAGGATGAAGAGCTGGGCTGCTGGAGCTTCCTCAGGCAGGGGTCTGGCCACTTTTCTGCCTTGAGGGGTTATAAAGTATACAAAATGTCCAAACTTTACAGAGTCCACTGTGAAGGCAGTAGGCTGAAGTAGGAAAAGTTGCCTTATCATGGACAGCCCCACGGCAGCGGCAGCCGAAGTAGGCATCCCGAGGCAGGGAAGTTTCTGATTCCCATAGGCTGAGGGAGCAAGGGTCACCATGGACAGCTCCTGCTGAGCTGTTGAGGCCATTTTGTCTCCTGCCTCCAGAGCATCAGGGAGAGAAGGAGGGACTGACTGCCCTGAGAGAGGACAGGGAACTGGCAGCCACTTGCTAGTATGTATTTAATTGGTCTAAACATAGCTCTTAGGGTGTGTGTGTGTGTGTGTGTGTGTGTGTGTGTGTGTGTGTGTGTGTTGGGCCATTCGAATTCTCCTCTGCCGCAAGGGGTTGGAGGGGCGACAGTGGGTCACCACGGCTTGTGGGGCATCAGGATGGCTTGTGGCGGCAGACCACTTCAGCTTGGTGGACCACCCCATGCCTTGGGGCAGGTTGGGATGGCCGAGGCTTGGGATTGCCTCAGTCTGGGGTGTCCTCTGTAGTGGGCTTAGGGCTGCAGGTGGCCTGGGCTCAAAAGGAGGGGGAAGCAGAAAGGATGGAGGAGGGAGGGGAGCAGGGGAGGGGATGGAGGAGGAAAGTGAGGAAGGTGAAGGAGGTGAGTGGAGGAGGGTGAAGGAGGGAATAGGGGAGTAGAGGAGGGAAATGGAGGGTGGAGGAGGGAAGTGGAGGAGTTGAGAAGAGTCCTGCCTAATTCTAACTCCCAGACACTAGAGACCCCTTGGCCCACTCAGGCAGGCAGTGTTGGTCCTCTCCAGGGTTGCCCGGAGACCCCCAGAAGAAGAGGGGCAGGTGGCAGCCAAAGTCAGTAACAGCTCTCAAAACTGAAATCTACCGCTTGGATGGTCCCCTCTGTGTCTGTGCTCAACCTGAAGGCCAGCCATGAGACCTCCGCAAGCCTGGCAGGAGGAGCTCTCTGTGTGGGTGGGGCCTGGCAGTGCTCAGCAGGAGTCCCTGGGAACCCCAGCCCAGAGATGGGAGGTGAGGAGCCTTGGGCTGAAGGCGCTCCAGGAGTTGCCAGTGCGTCATCAGCAGGGGTAATCGGATGACAACACCGTTCTCAGCATCATGACATCATATCTCACTGTCACCATCCTCACATGACATCAAATGCCACCGTCATAGCCACCAATGCCATCACTGCCCTTGTGGGACACCAGCATTCTAAGGACGGTCTTGGGGTCTTGGTTACTCTTCTATTGTTGTGACAAAACACCGCGACCAAGGAAACTTACAAAAGGAAATGTTAAAGTCGGGGCTTGCAGTTTCAGAGTGATGGTCATGTTAGAGTCCATGACCATCATGGCAGGGAGCATGGCGACAGGCAGGTGGGCAGGCAGGCAGGCATAGCAATGGGGCAGTAGCTGAGTGCTTACATCTTTATTCAAAAGTAGAAGGCAGAGAGAGCTACCTGAAAATGGGGTGGGCTTTGGAGACCCCAAAGCTCACCCCCCATGACACCTCCTCCAACAGGGCCACGCCTCCCAATCCTTCCCAAACAGTCCCACCAACTGAGGACCAAGTACTCGAACATACGAGTCTATGGGGCCATTCTTATTCAAACAGCTACAGTGACATCACTGTCACTCTGTAATCTTCAGCCATGACAGCATCATCCTCAACATGACATCCTCACCCTTACGTCACTATCCCTCATATGACATCAACATGGTGACATTATCTTCACAGCTGATGCTCAGTGAGTGCTTACTACAAACCGTTCAGTCAGCAGACACTTGAAAGACTGAGGGGCAATGACTATGGACCAGTCCTGGTCACTGAGCTGACAGGATAGGAGAGAGGCATGGGAAACAGGTATTACAATGAATGTAGAATTAGCAAGATATAAAGAAGGAAACTGAGGCACAGGCAGCTTGTATTAACTGCCCCAGAAGCAAAGGGTTGCAATGGAAGCGAAACTCAGAACTAGGAATTCCAAAACAATTCAATGTTTTCCTGCCAACACCTATACCACTCACTTCTTTGTCCCTGGATCTAGGACATGGGGCATCTTCTGTTTCTTCAGGAAAAGTATAAACACAGAGTCTAGGTAGTCCCTGCCAGCAGCAGAGTTTTTGCTGAAGCTATTTTAGTAGAATGGTCTTTGCTGCCATCTGCTGGTCACATGGCGGAATTGTGCTGGAGGAACAACGGGGGCTAAGGATATTTGTTACAATCTGGGAGTATCTCAAGGTAGGGCGACAGTGCAGATGTTCTCAGCGTGGGCGCTGCTCTGCACACTAGGGCTCTTGGTTCTGTCTAGAGACAATACTGGTTCTTACAGCTGGAGGCGGCGGTGCTACGGACAGGTAGCGGAGAGCAGCTGAAGGTAGTGCCTTCCTGGTCTGCATACCAATAAATAGAGTTAAGGCTGAGGAGCGGCCTGAGTGAACAGAAAGGACTATACCAAACAGTGTACAGCCGTGGGACCAACATCGTTGAAGAAAAGACACTCACTCGTTTGTTCGCTGAGTGTTTACACACTGTAATGTGTCAAGAAAGACATCACGCCTGGGGGGACATGAGTGGGTCATGGCTTTGTGAGCTCGGCACAGTGTGGAATCACCCGGAAAGTCCATCTCTGAGGGACTGTCTGGATCAGGCTGGCCTGTGGCTGATTTTCTTGAACGCCTCTATTAATGCAGGAAGACCCAGCCCCAAAGCGGGATGTATTCAAGTAGAGAAATTGAGCATACATTCATTGCCTTCTGCTCTTGACTGATTGTGATGTGACTGGCTGATTCAAGTTCCTGCCTTAATTTCCCTGCGATGATGGATTGAAACTTGGAATTGCTTTTTTTCCAGATAATTTTGTCACAGACATGGAAATGCAATGAGAAGAATGGGATGGTAGAGAGGACCCCTACCCTTACCATGCTATAGGGAAACAGACATTGAACAAGATCCAGGAACACACAGAAACCAGGCTGTGGGTAATGCCAAGGCGACAAGACACAGTGATGAGGCGATGCCAGGAGAGACATGTCTTGCAGCAGGTGACTGTTCAGGGAAACAGCAGACCAGGCAGGTGGCACGGGAGGAAGGCCCTGCTCTGGGGACAAGGCGGTGTGCTTGACGGCAATGAGAGGGAGCTGAGGGAATGATGTGAGAGAGAAGGGGCAGATGCTGTAATCATAGCCAGGCGTGAAGGCTACTTAAACTATGTCAGGGTTCCACTGATACTCTGTTCTCTTCTGTTTTGTCTTATTGTAATTTCATTTGGATTTGAGAGCCTGTGGTTGGATGTTTCTGGCAGCCAGGTCCCGGGTCTGCATTTGGATTCTTTCCACAGCTGTCATCTAACATCTTCACAGAAATACCCCAAACTCATAATACTTGGGCCTCAGAAGTGCCCAGTGGAATACAAGTTTTAAAATAATTTTTAAGTTAAAACATTATTATTTTATTCTACGTGTGTGAATATTCTGCTGTATGTATATCTGTTCACTGCACACATGCCTGGTGGCTGCAGAGGCCAGAAGATTGACCTGAATCTCTGGGGACTGGAGTTAGCCACCATATGGGTGCTGGGAATTGAACCCACATCATCTGGAAGAACAGGCAGTGCTCATAACGGCTGAGCCATCTCTCCAGCTCTGCAGAATACAAATTCTAAGAATGGGCGCAGATGTTGCTCTTCCCCGTTTGTTCTTCAGCAGGTGAGAAGGGTGGTTTTAAGGTCCCTTGGTCTGCTGTGTACAGAGTGGATGGCAGGGAAGCGTGGGTATAGGCGATCTGTGGAGAGCTTGGGGTGGCAC